AATCATTTGATAACAAAGAAGATAATTGTAATTATAATTAGGTTTTAAGAAAATTTAAAACAAGCACAAATAAATATACACGACGATTATTTACAAATAACCAAAGTTACTATATTTCCACAAAGATTTAATATATTGAATTACAAATGAAGAATGACAAACAAATGTATAAAATTGAAATTAGTTCAGTAATACCGATAATCTTACTACTAACAGTTTACGCAACGGCTATTTACGCATTTACTTTTAATACATTTTATATTGACACACAAGACAATAATTATTATTATTAAACAATTTTTTAATTTTATTTTCGAGAAAAAATCGCGGAAATTAATACCCGCGAATTTGTTTGAAATACAGAATTCGCGAAAATAAGAACAATTACAGTATATGACTATAAAAATTCTATTTTCTCATTGGCTAAAAAAGTAGGGCATCTTCTATAATAAAACGTTATATTGACCGCGGGAAAAATCACGAGAGATTAATATAAGATTTGGAACAGCTAACGTGTACCTATAAATAGCTTTTCCAAGGCAACGCGAATGACGTAGGTTTATGACGTCATACACATTTTCGTTTTTTTTTCTTCTTTTCGGTGTTGTTTTTTTTTTAAGTAATTTTATTATATATTTTAACTTATAAAAGCAACTGCCAAAGCAGATAATATTGTTAGCATCAAAACAATGAGCAACTAGAAAGCTTAAGCAAATAAAGGAAATTGAATAAAAAAGTAATATAATAAAACAATTGTTGACTTTTAATATCAGTTGATACAATGATCTATCCATCCCAGTAATATGACATTCACCCTCGGTTGTTGGCCTCTGTGAAAATCATATCTCTGGAGTTGATAAATCATTGTATCAACCTCATCAAAAGTCAATAATTGTATATCATTATGTACATAGATAACGTTATAAGAAATGTTACTTAAAAATGTTAGTTTTATGTTAATATATAACGCTATAAGAAAGGTTACTCCAACGTTAGTTTTATATTTAAATATGGCGTTACGATGGATGTTACTCTTACGATAGTTTTATATTAAAATATGACGTTACGATTGATGTTGCTCCAACGTTAATTTTATATTAAAATATGACGTTACGATTGATGTTACTCCAACGTTAGATTTATATTATAATTACACCTTATATAAGAATGCTGGATTTTGATTGGTTGGTAGCCAGTATAATTATTTTTCGCATATTCTAACCTTTTTTACTCATTTCAAACGAATTTGAATGTTTTTCACCACTGCCGGTGAATTTGCCTCAAATTCCCCTCTATGCCGTGGTATTTGCCATTTTGGATATTCCTATTTTACCCTCGCGGGCTTCTTCCCGCCAAAATCATTAGGATATGACGTTACATCAAGACAGCGCTAACGCGTATAAGTACATGTATAATTCCCGCGGTATTATGATAGTCTCTACTTATCCTCAAAATTATGCATAAACATGTTTATGGGTTACAGCTGACTAGTAAAAAAAAAATTTCCTTTCACCAGTACAGAGAGTTTCAATCAAAATCTATTCGGTGTAATTAAACAGATATATCATGTTATAGAGGGGTATTTGCGAAAAATACCAGTCTTGGGACCAAATTTCCCTTGCCTAGCGGCTGAGGAAATTTAACAGTCCCTCGACTGGTATTTTTCGCAAATACCCCTCCATAACATGATATATCTGTTCAAAATATGATGTTACGATGGATGTTACTCTTACGTAATTTTAATATTAAAATATGACGTTACGATGGATGTTACTCCAACGTTAGTTTTATATTCTAATATGACGTTCTTCAAACGCTTTCAGTACACACCCGTGGTAAAATGTAAATATATTGTTTTGGCTGTTCCTATCATACTCCCACGTCATATGCTTTTTTAATGAATGAGCTACTCGACGTCACTGAACGATGACGTAAGAATATAAGCATTTTACGGGAAAATGCACGATTGTGAAACAAAAAGTCATCACAACAAGGAAACGTTAACAAACGATGATTAAATGTGTTTTAAGCCATTTTTTTTAACATATAAGTAAAATTATCATTTAAATTCATCCAAACCTATCTAAATACGTTATTGTAGTTTAAACATGTCATTAGTTCAGTTTGCTCCGTTCTTTTACGTCAATGTAAAAGTGCGTTTATTAACGGGAACGGTAAATATTTGCCTTCACCTAGAGCGCTTCGATCCAAAAGAATTGCCGTATTTGTCCTATTAGAATAGAAATAATTCATGGGGGTTTGAATTTATACTGATTTTACCACGGGTTAGCCCTTTATGCCGATATTATACCCCTCGCTGTCGCTCGTGGTAAAATATTTAGCATAAAGGGCCAACCCGTGGTAAAATCAATATAAATTCAAGCCCCCATGAATTATTTCTTAATTAAAACATGACGTTACGATTGATGTTTCTCTTGTGTTTAATAGTTTAATGTAAATAAATAACGTGAACAGAAACATTACGTTAACGTTGTGATCGTTCTTCAGTTGTATGAATTAAGTCGTATGCATTTCATAGATAAATTGACGTGGGTGAATATGAACGCGTGACGGTGCTGCATTGATACGCCACGCAATTGTCAAAATATTTTCGTGTGTCAGATTCTTTCATGATTTAGAAAAATATTAGGCAGTAAGATCAAACAGAAAATGCATAAATTGTCGATAAACATGTATATTGTGATGTAGGTCCAGAAATTTTGATATTTTTTCTAGGCCTATGGGCAGATTCATTGGCTAGAACGACGATCGACGAACTTCAAAGCATTTGTAATGTTCTCCGCCGTTTACACTTGCTGTTTACAGCGTCAGCGAGGACGGCGGCGACGTCAATAATTTGTTTAAGTTTGTGCTAATGTCAGTTTTAGTGGAACCGCTAATGGTAAGTCGATGATATTATGTATCAAGTTGTATCAGCATTGGTACATCTCATATCCATGGAGATTTTTTGTCGCCGCTCCCTCAAACATGGTCTATCGATTTGAAGAATTTGCATAGTTTACATGTTATAGTTTGTGATTAGTTATTATAAAAAAGAAGATGTGGTATGATTGCAAATGAGACAACTCTCCACAAGAGACCAAATGACACAGAAATTAACAACTATAGGTTACCGTACGGCCTTCAACAATGAGCAAAGCCCATACCGCACAGTCAGCTATAAAAGGCCCCAAAATGACAATGTAAAACTATTCAAACGAGAAAACTAACGGCCTAATTTATGTACAAAAAATAAACGAAAAACAAATATGTAACACATAAACAAACGACAACCACTGAATTGCAGGCTCCTGACTTGGGACAGGCACATACATACAGAATGTGGCGGGGTTAAACATGTTAGCGGGATCCCAACCCTCCCCCTAACCTTGGACAGTGGTGTAACAGTACAACATAAGAACGAACTATAAAAATCAGTTGGTCGGTTTTAGATAAATAGATTGTTCATGACGTCTTTACACTATCAAAAACTATTGGATGTTTGATGTTAACTGATTAATATTAAAATCTTAAATGCGTGATGTTTTTATTATTTGTCATTGGCTTTGAACTAGGTTTCAGTAACTGCGAGTACTCTCACGTCTGTAATTTGTGTCTTTAATGTTTTTGTTAGTTGTTTTGTGCTTTCTGTAGATCTGATGAGTAAATATAAAAATAAGAAGATGTGGTATGATTGCCAATGAGACAACTCTCAACAAGAGACCAAATGACACAGAAATTAACAACTATAGGTAACCGTACGACCTTCAACAATGAGCAAAGGCCATACCGCATAGTCAGCTATAAAAGGCCCCACAATGACAAATGTAGAACATTTCAAACGAGAAAATTAACGGCCTAACTTATGTACAAAATAATGAACGAAAAACAAATATGTTACACAGCAACAAACGACAACCACTGAATTACAGGCTCCTGACTTGGGACAGGAACATACAGAATGTGGCAGGGTTAAACTAGTTTGTTGGCGCCAAACCCTCCCTCTAACCTGGGACAGTGTTATACACTCCCCACAAAAAGACATTAAGTACAGATCTGAGAGTACTCGCAGTTACTGACAGCTAGTTCAAAGCCAATAACAACTAATAAAAAAAGCATGCATCTAAGACTAAAATAACAATCAGTAAGCATCCAACATCAAATGGATTTCGTGTAAAGACGTCATTAACAGTCAGATAAATAGCCCTCTTCTGCTTATTTGTATGGCATGTTCTTGTATTGTGCTGTTACGTCGTTGTCAGTGGTGAGGGAGGGTTGGGTGCCCGCAAACATGTTTAGCCCCGCCATATTCTGTATGTGCTAATCCCAAGTCAGGGGCTTGTTATTCAGTAGTTGTCGTTTGTTGCTGTATATTATATTTGTTTTCCGTTTATTGTTTTGTTCATAAATTCTCGTTTTTTTACATTTGTCATTTCATGCCCTTTATAGCTTGCTATGTGGTATGGGTTTTGGTCATTGCTGATGAAGGCCGTACGGTGACCTATAATTGCTTAATTCTACGTCATTGGGTTTCTTGTGGATAGTTGTCTCATTGGCAATCTTACCACATATGTTTATTTTTATATTTACACTAATGGTAAATCAATAATATTTGGTATTCAGTCGTATTAGGGTTAGAACAAGGCATTTCCATGGAGATTATATCGCCCCGCGGCCTCAATCATGGTTCATTGACTTTGAAACTTTTATAATTTACATGTTAAAGTTCGAGATCAGGTCAATTCAAGGGGAACCACTTATGATAAGTCATTGATATTTGGTATGCAGTTTTAATGGCATTAGGATATCTCATTTTCATGGAGAATATTTTGCCCTGTAAATTCAGTCATCGTTCATTGACTTTGAATGTTTTGCATAGTTTACATGTTAAGATATTGCCATCATAATTTCAACTTTGCAATATGCTATCAAAACTACAAAAAGGCGAGACATTATATCTTTGTGTCATCCGTTTCAGTGTAAAATATTTTGGCACTCACCCTACACTAGACTTCGGAAACGTCCCCATTCCGCCCGGTCGTGACTTTGTATTTAAACATCCCACACAGCTAAACGGACACCACACTTTAGGAAGGCTATACTGCCGGAACGTAAGAAGTTCAGAGGATCATATCTCTTGCTTTCATATTTATCTCTGGAAAAACATTTATTTTTTAAATCGATGGCTGATGGCTTATATATATATATAGTCCAGTCAATCGATGCAAAAGTTACTTATCATTAACAAAATTGCAAAAGGTAAAATAACAAGAATACCGAACTCCAAGGAAAATTCAAATCGGAAAGTCCCTTATAAAATGGCAAAATCAAAAGCTTAAACACATCAAACGAATGGAAACAACTGTCATATTCCTGACTTGGTACAGGCATTTTCTTATGTAGAAAATGGTGGAATAAATCTGGTTTTATAGCTGGCGAAACCTCTCACTTGTATGACAGTCGCATAAAATTCCGTTATATTGACAACAATGTGTGAACAAAACAAACAGACATAATAGGTAAAAATGTCAAAAAAAGGGGTACAGCAGTCAACATTGTGATATAATCTTTCTCACAGAAACTACTCAAGAGTGTTTTTGTGTCTAGGATTTCATCATAATCTAATCTACTGAAAGTTATACTGAAGGTCTAACAAGTTAATACTGATGGAAACAGATGAGTTAGGGTTAAAATCATCGGATTTTTTAGTAAGAAGTCAATGAAAACTGGGAAATTTGAATATTTATGTAATTGATAGAGAAACATCTTTTATTACAACAATACTCTATTTGAAACGTTACAAACATGATTGCATAAGGAAACTGAATAAACATGACCAGAAATAAGTATTTTGAGGTTTATCATAAATTCTCCGAAAATAGGAAACCGGAATTTTTTTCAAATGAAACTCTATTTTAAATATAATACTCATGATTGTAAACGGAAACTGACAAATTTAACGACCAGAAAAGATTTTTATCATAAAATATCCGTTACAGGAAACAGAAAAATTTGTCAAATGTAATGAAAATTGCGAAATATTTTTTTGTCAATGGTTTCCAAAATATATTGAAAATCTTTTATGACAAACAACATATATGATATTTTAGTCAAAAGCTTCTTTTCTTTCTAAATCATCCAAAACTTGAAAAGTAAATAAAATTTATATTATGATTCTGTCGAGACCTCTGTTGCCAAGACTTTTAAAAGGTATAGATAGAACTGAAATATGTTCTGTTGATTCATAGCGTTTGATTTTGTCGGTTTTTGTGGAATTCCTCCTTTTTGAGTTTGCCTTGAAGTTCTGTATTTTTGTTTTACTTTTTTTTTTTTGTATAGACATGAATAAATTGTTCGTCAGCCTGAGGAGTTGCAGGGAGAAAGATTTTTGATAAATATCTAATCCAGTTATTAGAACTGAATACGTTTGGCTATTATGCAGATTACAACTAGTAGATTCAGATACAAAGGGTGGCATAGTATCTGTAAGATAATCCGGCCATTGTCTAATTATTGTTATCTTACCTCCTATACATTTCTAGGAATATGATTGGTTTAAAGCGACCGCGTGGAGACCGTGTATATTTAATACGAGGTTAGTAGGCGTGGTTTATTTTAATACATGGTTAGTTGTGGTGTTACGCCCCTTTATAAAAAAACAAACGTTTCGTCCGGACAACAGATGAAGAAATTGATGATTAACGATTGAAATAAATGCAGAAAACACATTAAAAGCTAACAAGTTGTTATTGTTGACCTTCGTATTGTATAGACCAATGGAAGTAAGTTCTTTATATTTAAGACTTCATTACTTTGATAGGCCACTAGTCTAAATGCCACATGTTAAGATAATCGGTAAGATAAAGTCGTTACACAGTGTGCTTGTGACCTCGTATTAGGTTACTAGCACACTATGTAACTTATAATATGTGTATGTGTGTGAAAATTAGGAGATTTGGTATGTATGCCAATAAGACAACTATCCAACATGGTTCAAAATGACGCGGATGTAAGTATCTATAGATCACCGTACGTGGGCCTTCCACAGTGAGCAAACCCCATACCAGCACTAAAGGGTCCAGATATGTTGAAATGTGAAACAATTCAGACGAGAAAATTAACTACCTGATTTATGAAAAAAACATTAAATGAAATTCAAGTACGACAGACAGCCTTTAACGAAAACCACCGAATTACAAGCTCCTGAATTGGGACATACACATACAGAATTTTGTTGTATTAAGCATGTTTGTCAGCGCTCAACTTTCCCCTAACCCTAGACAGAGGTGTAACAAAACAACATAAGAATAAACTGTAAATAAGACTTGGAAATAACTTGATTCATTAGATTGGCATGAAGCACCGAGAAACAAAAAAATAAACTAGCATTAGGCCAAAAACCACAAAGTACACATCGAAGAATATTTGAAATTACGGAAAGCTATAGTTCGACGGCAATTACAACCAATAAATATATCATGTTCTTTGAGACTTAAGTTTCAATCAGGACACATCCAACGGATTTAGTGAAAAGCATTCCCATGTGCAATGCCGAATATAAGTTCGTAGTACCGTCAGGATGTAAGACAATAACTATATACCAAATTCAAAATCAAATATCAGTACCGACAAATAATGTACTCAAAGATATAACTATAGTGATAAATTTAAGAATACTTTTTTTCAAGAGAACAATGAGTTTACATTTATGAAATATGTTTGCGTTGTTGTCGTTTTTTGCAAGAGTTTCCAAACTCGCTTCAGTGTTTAAAGAATATGTTTAAAGCATATTTACTTGCTTAAATAGTTAATCCAATTACAATTCGTGCTCCCTCGAGATGTTTCTTTGAGTTTCTAAACGATTCTCAATTGGAGACTAAATTTGTTTCATACAAAAGAATATTCTAAAATTGGGAAAACTGTAAATGTCATGTGTATTCTGTCCAAATACATACGGCTCAGTTTACAAATGTATCTCAAAAAGAAATTTAGTTTGAGGCTTTTTACTATTTTAAAATTAGTATGTTGTTGATACATAAAATTCCATTCTATTGATGCAAAATAATAACAGCCAATTTAATATACCTTGACCTTAACGGAGATATTACAGTTCATCTTCGCTAGCCAAGGGTTACGATCCAGTCCCTTCCTCTCCACCCTTGGCAGAATAAGCCAACATTTGCGATCACAATGCTGCGCCATCTACCGGTAGATAAAAGCCACGCCCATTCCGACTACATCATACTTGACCAATGACAGCAGTTTAGCTCTCTTCAGTGTGGAGGGTTAAAAATATTTGTGTCTAGTGTTTACAAATTTCGTGAAGCAGGAACCGAAAATATACGTTGACATTCCAACTTTGCGCGAGAAACATACCCAAGAACTTCAGTAAGTTTTTTTAGAACTTTAAAATTGTCAATAAATATCGTCATATGTTATGAGGTTAAAGACTTGTTGCACAATCAGCACGTGGCAATTGTTTATGTACATTTTCTACATATACACGTGATCATCTCAAAGGCGCTTTTTGATTGAATACAGCCAGTTACAACTGCGACCAATGGAAATCTATCTTAATCCGCCAAGGGTGGAGAGGAGGGGACTGGATCGTAACCAATGCTAGCGAAGTTGATGCAAGTTAGATGATTGTTATCCCGGAAAGTTCAAATATATTTTACTTTAGTATATATGTATCGGGAAATTTCTGCGTGAATTTAATTTTCGCTATTTTCGCGTCATACATTTTATCGCGAAATTTGCCCTACACGAACATTTCACTGTTCATTTAAATGCATTTTACAAGATCATGAATCGCGAATAACGAATACAGCTAAGATTTAACTGTCCTCTCTGCAACCCAAACCGCGAATATAACTCGACGCGAAAATAACCCGATAAACGGTAAATGTTACTCTACTCGCACACAATTTGCTGTAGATTTCTTTCTGCGAACAATAATGAAAAACAAAAATCCGCACAAGCGTCGATTTATATCCCATGGACTACATTATATATAAAGTACACTGAGTATTCAGGAACCAAAAGATCGGGACGTAGAAAACATATTGACTCTTTTTTAACAAAAATATACTTTCTTTGGACGCCAATGGTTGACTAGCGTAAAGAAATATTGTCGTCCCTGGACTTCTCCAATCCGATAGTAACCCCCATGTTAAAGAGGGCATCTGTTTTGCTTCCTGGATGTTTAAATACAAAGACACGTAATGCCGCAATGGGAGCACTAATTCGATGCATCGTGACGGAAGAGTACCACAATACATGTACATATATGTTTATGCACGTTGATAATAATTTGCAACAACTTCTTCAGGGATGCGTGTGTGGACTGTTGCAAGGGACTATTTCTGTTATTATCAAACATACTCTTTTAATCCAGTGGCAGTCTAATTTTCAAACATTTCCTACCGTTTGACCCAAATTGCAGAATCTACCTATATATAGTATTAACTATTCCTACATAAACATGAGATATTTGTCACTGAACGTGGAGCAAACAACATTTAATCAAACAATCTGCGGCATTACGTTTGTTACGAGTCAATTCATTTCCGAAAATATTCATATTATCATCATAATATAAAAATAAGAAGATGTAGTATGATTGCCAATGAGACAACTGTCCACTAGAGACCAAAAAACGTAGAAGTTAACAACTACGAGTATATGTCATCGTACGGCGTTCAACAAGGAGCAAAACCCATACCGCATAGTAAGCTTTAAAAGGCCTCGAAATGACAAATGTAAAACAGTTCAAAACAAAAACAAGAAAACTAACGGGATGATGTATGTACAAAAAAATAAACGAAAAACAAAGATAATATACAGCAATAACTATATAAGTTTGAAATGCATCCATTACTTGTACTTATGTTAAACATTTTAAAAAAAATAACAGTGTGGACAAAGATTCGGTGATGAAAATCCTAAAAAAAAAATGCTATTTATTAATGGAGCATTAAATATTTCTAACTTGGTCGTTTTCAAAATGCATAGATTTCTAGCCAAGACTTTCCTTTAATTGTGTAGAAATACAGGATTTTAGCACTTATATTAACGAATGGACGTGTAATTTGAAATTATACCGTTTAGAAACTACTAGAAAAAATTGCATTATATCACTGAATTACAATGTAT